ATTAATTCAAGCCCTTTGTGCCTTTAGTGCTAGTTTAGTGATTAGAAAACATAAAATATAATTTTAGATTTTTTTTTTTTTTTGTAAAGAATGTATATTATTGAATGATAATTTGATGAGCATGAATTTCTTTATTTGTACAACATTAAGATATATGAGACATTCATGCATAGCATTAGGCATGAAAAAGGAAAAATTGTTTTGAAATGAAAGAAATAAATTTGTGGGAAAAAGTTTTGATAAAGGGCTTTGCGAAAACCCGGACGCCGAGGGGTTATCGAGGGTCTGTGGCGTTAATGTGACCTAGAGGGAATCAGGGAAAACACCATAGTGTGGTTGAGCTATCTGGGCCACAAATGATGCCGCGAGGTTACCAAGAGTCAGGGACAGTAGCAAATCCTTCTCTCGTGTCGCTAAGGGGTCACCGTGGGACGGGTTATGTTAACGATTTGAAAAGTGATGAATGGAAGTGATTTTGAAAATGGGAAGTGACATAGCATGGTATTGCATTTCATGGCATGAGATTGTTTGTTTTTGGCCTTAAAATTGTATTGTATTTTCCCTAGCATAGCATGATCCCGTTTTCAATATTTCTATTCATTGTTTGAATTCACGGGGTCACAAGAGATGTGTCTTAGGCACCACCTACTGAGCAATTTTTCTTATCCCCTATTATTAACATTTTTTAGGTCACGGAAAGAAGGTGGTGTATGACATTCCTTCACAACCATGAGGGGACTTGAAGTTTGTTTTGCAACCATTTTGTAGACTTGAGCCATTTTTTTTATAAAGCAACATCTTGATATGTATTAAGATTGTTTAGCATGTCCATGTAATTTAACTATGAGCCTTTGGCTCTATTTTGATGTAAAATTGGACAAATGTAAAGACTATGCATTATTTCTTATTTGAATGGAAACTAATGTTGTATTCTATCAAATTGTTGATATAAATGACCATGGAATGTAGAACATTATTTTGCATTGTATTGGGATAGGTTTGGACTTGGATTTAAGGTTACTATGGGACCAATGGGATACCTAAGTGTACAAATGCTCAATCTTAGGCTTTTTAGGATAATTTTTTTTTTTTAGTTCTGGACTGGGGGAACCGGTACATCATTCTGGACCCGGTTCAAGGGGTACTTTGGTTCACGTTTTGGGCATTCTGCCCATGTGGAACCGGTACCAAGTTTGGGAACCGGTTCAAGTCCTCCAGTGGGCTTTTTGCCCTTCACACTTTTATCAACTTTGATCACTTAACTTCAGATAGTCATAACTTCTTTGTTCCAAACCCAAATAGGGTCATTCTTGAGTCCATATTCAAGGATTTTGAGTTAGCTTTCCAATGGGACCAACCTCATCTTCAAAATCCATTCATGTTGAGAGTTATGGTTGTTTTAGTGGAACAGTGTCAGAATTCCTCTTGAACCGAGTAAGGGTACTTTCGGGAAATCATAACCAATGACTGTAGAACTTCACCAAGCATCATTGAACGACTAGAATAATTGTTTTAAACTTCATTAGACTAATTTAATGTCTTATTATCCTCTCATATTGTAAAATGACCATTTTACCCCTAGTGTGTCCTCGGGTTTGGTTAAGGACCCGGTTAGTGATTCGGACTCCCGGTTCGGGTCGTTACATATTGTACTTTATATATTTCTATAACTATGTGGAATTTCCACAACACATCACACATGCATAGTGTGGGTGTGTGTGGTGGTTTGTGTATGGAGGATGATTTTCTAAAGTTTAGTGAAAAAATATTTGCAAAAAACGGATGTCTAGGAGTCGCCTCTGTTCTGAGTGTGTTAGCCAATCTAGAGGGAGTACGGGGAGAGTGCCTTGTATATGGTAGAGTTACCTAGGCCTCAAATGGTGCTGAGGAGTTGCCTTAGGCCAGGGATAGTTAGCCAACTTTCCTCGTGGTGATGATTAGTCGCCTCGTGCCGAGTTGTGTTAACAGATTTCGGCGTGGGTTGAATTGGGTGTAAGTTGATGGTTGGTGCATGTATTCATGACATATAACATACACATAACTTTAGTTTGCAAAGATGTTTTACACTTGGTCTCGTTACTTGTATTATCCCTTATCTCATTTTATTAATGAAATTCATATGATGACTTTTAATTTTTTTCCTTCTTCCCTTCAAAGCATGACCCCTCTATCTACTTTTCCTTTTCCACCTTCTCTTATTTGTGTTGCTCACGTAGCTATAGGGGGTGTGTTTTAGCCACTCATACTGGGCAAGTGTTGCTCACCCCTCATCACTTTCTGGTAACGGAATGAAAGTGGAGGAGAATCCACTCCCACAAGCTTAGAGACGTGCGACGTAGCTTTGGACATCATTTTTGCCATTCTAGCATGTGTAATTGGTTGTTTTGTTGAATTACTCGATATGTATAATAATGCCAAATGATGTAAATTTGTGCCAGAATAGGTTAGCTAATGTAACCAATGTCCATATTGGTGGCTCTTGTGTATTTTGGTATATATACACATGGGAACTACTCTTTCATTTTGTGCCCTTAGATGTATATGAGACTTGGACCTGAAGAAGGATGCAATGTATTCATTATGGGCAACTCATGTATATATCTATACATGCTATATGTGTTTGGAAATTATGTTGGAATGCATATACTTTATAACAGGTTTGGGTCATAACTAACCTCCATGAGACCAAAGAGGCTTTCCATAGCCTTGAATGACTAAATCAGACCAAAATAGGCACATCCGGCACTAATGCAGGCTGTCAATCGACCAAAATAGGCACCTCCGGCACTAGTGCAAGCTGTCAATCGACTGGTGGCCCAAAATCGAAGTTGTAACTCTCGGGTTCTCACTTTTAGGCTACTGATGCAGGCCACTAGCCGTTTGATTCTGCACTTTCAGGCGCCTGACTCTGCCTGTTCACTCAGCAATGTTGAGTCAACTTCAAACGGCCATAACTATTTCAATTTAACTCCAAATTTGAGCTCAAATTGAAGGCCTTGAAGTCAACTTTCGAATGATGCCAATCCCATTCCAAAATTCTAACTACAGAAAAAGTTATAGCCATTTTAATAAGGTGTGCTCATGAATCTTCTAAACCGAGACTATCCAATTGTGGGGAACACTTCCCAGGCGACCAATCTCCTAGGGATTGTTTTTAATTGATTGGGATGATTAGAATGAATCCCATTTGACTAATTTAGAGTCAACTTACCTTCCTTCCTTATCTTGAAATAACCATTTTACCTGATTTAGCTACCGGACATAAGTATAAGCCTAGTTTGCATCATTTCTCGTTCATGACTCGAATCCAGTCTTAACAGCAGATCCAATTGTTGACAGAACATACACATATGAAAACAGCAGATCCATCTCATGAACAGCGTCCAAAGATTGAACTAAATAAAGCTACATCCTGCCCCTAACATGCTTGGAGATGCAGCTTAATTCCAAACAACAGCAAACCTCTCATTCTATCATTTTAATTTCATATTTTTAAGTCACGTGAATAAGTAATTTAATAGGATGTGCCTTGTAGCCCAGGTGGTGGGCGAGCCTCACGGGTTGGTGTGAGTGCCAGTGTTCAAGCCATCCATGTGAAGGCACAACGGAATCATTTAAAAATTTTCAGGAGCGTAACTACGTGATTTATCAATAAATACTGTAAATGGATCTCATACTTTTAGACGATTGAATAATCGTCGTATTCGAAAACAGTATTCACTTTCTTCTTTGGCCTTGAAAACTAATGAGTCTTCACCTCTATGACCCCAATATAGGTTCAAAAGTCGGTTATTTATTTAATGAGAATCGGTTAAAAAGTCTAGGCCTAGAAATGAGGATCCAAGAAGGCTTCCTTATCCTAACTCCAATTGGATAGAGATAGAGTTATCCTATCCAATCAATTACAATAAGCACCACAAATAGTTTTGTAACTGTACTCTAGGATTTAGAAATTACGATAAGGCCCTGTGTACTAAATAATTACATAAAAACCCCTCCATTACCGAATATCCATAAGTAGCCCCAGAAAAATATATACTGTCCCACCTAAGGCTTATTTATATTTTATATTCCTTGAGTAACCAACTTAATCTTTATGATCACTGAATTAAATTCTTTTAGAAAGGATTTTTCAAAATAAATATTTTTCTAAATAAATAATAGAAAAATAATTTTGTAAACATTTTTCTAAAATGCCCTGACCAGGTTCCAGTGATCAAACTTATTAAATTGCATCAAGGGGATATTCTAACTCTTATAAAGAGTGTGGATTCCATGTTGAGCATTTGTGTTCCCAGAGCTCCAATATTAACCACCCAAGATACTGTGGTATTGACCTTAAAAAGATCTCACACATTAATAAGTCAAAGTGACTAGTACTAAAACTTGAGTTCACTAAATCTCTCAAGATTTAGAGCCTATGAATTTAGTAGATAAGAAACACACCAGAATACTGACAGTACATTGTATGGTGTGATCTTATGGTGATCCAGTTCAACGTACTCCAAGCACATTGACACACTACCTTAGAGTCAACTACCCCAATAGTCGAGACAAACCATCCTATCTTATAGAGGTCAAGTGTGTTACAGTCTTACAGATAAAAGTGCTCAACTTTTATCACTGACTGCGAACAATGCCAAGGTGCAAGAAACCAGTGAGCCCAAATCTCCTGCGTGTAAATCTCATTTACACACTTAAGTCACCTATAATGCAACTTGAGGACTATAATGCATCTCATACAATTATATGTAAAGCCCAATACATAAATATCATATTTATTAATAAAATATCGAATTAATAATAAATAATTAGCTTGTAGGGTATATGATCCCAACACCATGCTATTAACTACTAACTCCTCCCCTTCCCGCTCTAACCCCACTAACCATTGCCAGGTGAAAAAAAAAAAAAAATGAAAAGAATCAGTAATTTAATAATAAAATAGGATACTGGTTATCACCAAAATAAATAGATATAGAAACATAGAAGAAAGAAAATACGCAAAACAATACAAGTGCACTTGGGAATTTATTATAATTCCAATTGTTACTTTTACAGCTTCTAAGGCCTAGATGCCTTCTCATAAGAATGAAATCTCAGAAATTGGCAAGAAATAAAAGGAAGAGGAAAATAATGAGTATAATATATATATAGACCAAAGAAAATAAAACAACCTACAAACACAACTCAAATAAATAGATGAAAATAATCAATATTACTTTCTGATTTCACCGCTGCTTCATCTTTATCATTTGGCATTGTTACTGTACAATGATAGACCCTTCAGAATGACCAATAGATATGTACTGAAGTATAATCTGATCACGATTGTCTCATCAAATAATTCCATGCTAGCAGTGCTGCTCCTATTGCAGGCTCAACCTGATTTCAAATTAGGAAACACAAATTTCATCAATCCACGTTCAAGTGGAAGCCAAGAAATTGATAATTGAAACCCTTCTGACATACCAACTAAAGAATTCGAGATCAAGTTTTATCTTAGTTTTTTTTTCTTATTTTTTCTGTTAATATTTCTTCTTTCTGTTCTTTGATTCATGATCATGCAACTGAAACCCTATTGTTGTATATTTTATACTCCAGTTCATTTTAAGTGTTCTAGTGTGTTAAAATTATCATATAGTCTGGTACGAATTACATTCTCCTACAAATGAAGCATGGTTACTTCATTTAACAGTCGATGGTTCTACAAGATACATATGAAAACAAAAACAAAATGGAAAAAAACCACAAATGAATATAGTCTAGTAAAAATACATTCTCCTACTCAAATGAAACACCACTACTAAAGAATTACGGTTATTAGTATTAGATATTAATCATTTCAAACAGTCGATGTTTCTACAAGTTACATATGAAAACAAAAACAAAATGGAGAAAACCACAAATGAATCAAGTACACGCTTGATAAGCACATACACAAACACAAGTATAGATGAGGCATTGCATATAGATTTCAACCAGTTTCTATATAAAAAATCCAATGCCAATGCTCAAGAAAGATTTTTGCATCCATATCCGCCATTTGCAGTTTCAAAGTTCTTACAATTGTGGGGTTTAGGATAAGAAGAAAGAAGAGCTGGAATTATAATCCTTCCTCCATTGGAAGTCTAGGTCTGAGATATATTATGGGAACTTCTTGTAATAATGAAGATTTTTTTAACCACTAAGATAAGACGACAAAATTTGAAGTGGAATTGCTTCCCTTCCTATGAGGTTTGAGAGAAGGGTAGAGGCTTCTTGGATTCAGTTTACAGAGGTGACTGAGTGAACATGTTCATTGTTGTAATAAGATAGTCAATGATCCTTGGACGTATATTCCCATCGTAAGGGACTTGGCAGTGTAAGAACTAATTTGTTATCTGCATAATGCAGTCGCGTGGCTACATCAATTGGCTAATTAGGAATGTTTACGTTGGCTAAGAAGTGATATGCTTCTTGGCCGACTTATTTGGGTGATTTGATGCCCCCAGGGCACTGTTTTTCTTTCCTTGGTTTCGGCCCAAGCAGTCTCCTCTGGGATCAACAACGAAGTAGGTAGTTATTTATTTTAAAGGAGACTACTATCAATATTTTTGGGCAGTCCTTTGACTTATTTCACAGAAAGCATCACAAGTTCATAGCCGCCCCTGCTCCAATCACAAAATATCTAAGTTACTCAATAAAGAGTGACAGCCCCATTTTTTTCCATTTCCAGGTAAAGGGGCCATCTAGCATTGTAGAGATGGAGGAAGCTTGGACAAGGGAAAATGGAGCAAAAGAAAATCCAACTAAACTTCTCCCACATAGTCGACAATCCACACGAGAGAAATAATGGTTTAGTAAAAGGAAAATAAAACCAATCACTCATCATTTAACAATGTGATGCACAGTGGAGTCTGCTCTCCTCAACATCAACTGAATCCTTGAGCAACAACCAACTGATATAGATCACAGTAGAGGAAATAACCACATCACTATCACCAAATAAAAGCAAAATATATCATGCTCTCCAATTCCAAAGAAACAACCTTGTAAATAGTATCACACATGATAAGCAACTCAAAAAGTTTTAGCTGTACGAACCATGGAAAAACTTAATAGCGTTTATCATTACAGAGATAATCTAAAAACTAACCAAAGTATAAAGAAATTACTACAATTAGAAGTACCACAAAAGAAAGAAGATAGAAGTTAAGAAATTATTATGTCGATTTGGTCTACTATAATTGTCTTTCCAAAATCATATTCCGAAGGCCTTCTATTATGATACTATATGATAGTAATTATATATATGATCAACTTTAAAAAAAAGCTTTTATTATCACTGTGCTGATTAAGCATAGTACCATGAATGATTTAACACTTTTATCGCCATAGAACTCAGGAGGAAATAGTTTATCCTATCAAATTTAGATATCGTAAAATACCCAAAAATCACCGTCTGCTTTATTTAACTGTCAAGCAATGCAACAAAAAACTAATTACATGAAACCTTAAAAGGATACCAAATATAAGCACACTCCCAATTTGATGAAGTTTAAACTCTAAGGATTAGTGGTAAAAGAAGATTTAAGGAAAAAAGAAAACAAGAAACCCAAACGATAATAGTCTTCTGTAGACTAAAAACTAGTAGTGTAATATATCAATATCAAAATAAAAATGAAACCATTATTCTATATATCAATTTGATTTGTATGTCCTAGTATTTAATGTATATTATCCAATGGATTGTGTCGGCATAAAATACTAATAGTACAAGTCAGGCCAAGTTCCCAAGTCTTTAAAGTCATAAGAGTTAGATAAATGCAACTTTAAATGCATATCAAGAATCAGCACCAGTAACCCATAGCTATATCCAAGGCAATGGAAATCTACAGAATCTCATATCAGTTACTTTCCTGTTGTTTCTGTTCCACTTAGATGCAAGCAGAGTGCAACAGAAGCAAGGGCTTTATAATAAAAAAGGAAAGAAGATCACAATAAATTGCACTGGAAACTGAGTAGAATATGATTACCCTTGGCCGAATTGGAATAGCTCCAGGGAAGTCCTTGGAGATACAATTTATGACTTCTTTCCCTATATCCCACTTCTTATTAGCTTCTAGAACACCGCCAACCATTACGAGAGGAAAAGAATCCCTTCCATCTGCATGCAATTTTTAAAACATGTACAGAAAATTCACCAGTGAGGTCTTAAGAAAAATTTGGCAAAAGCAAGGGACAAGATATATTCTTTTATTTGTAAGTCCATTATTTAAAGGTCTTTACGAGAAAATACACAATATTTTCTCTTCCCACTAAGCTCAAATGATGATCTGTGAACTAAGGGAAAAAAATGATAATCTGTGCAACTGGAAACATATATAACTATCAGTTATCCATCATAATAGAGATAATCATATGGTGCAAGGAGATTTTGATCATCATCCAAGTTACAAATCATAAATCACAAGGTCGACATAAATTACAATGTTCAATTAGGCTATGTCATTAATATGAACAAATAAAAAATCTAGTCATCTCACTAATTGAGCATGAAAAATTCAAGGGTTATCTGTTGTGTGTTCAGTGTGGTAAATCCTTTCTCTTCTTTACCCATGATTATTTGATATTAGATGTCTTCCATCATTGTACAATCTAGTAGAGCATAAGCTATTTTGCAATGACAGATATGGGACATAAGTTCAAGCGTAGAGATGTCAACACAGTAATTTCATAAAAAGATAGTATGAAGATACAGACAAGTATTCCTACACAGAAACACAAACACAATCTATTGAGTTGATAAGATCTGGATTAAGCCATGGGTTCACATTCCTCTTGCAAACATAACAGATTTTAAAGAGATAGGGGAGTGACGTGGAAGTTTGTTTGATATTGGTCTAAAGGAATGAGATCATGATTCCTTGTTCCAAAGAGGACTTCTTGTGTCAAGAAAATACCAGGTTAGCAGAGATGAAAGCAAACTGGCAGCTTCTGAAACTGTCAAACCTTTCCTTGGAGGATTAAAGGCAGCATGCTCCCTACTAGCAGAATACAAACCCTCATAGAATTGAACTAGCTAGTCCTCCATCTTTTTAGGATCCTCAAAAACTTCTCCATTAATATTTTCCAAAGCTGTAATGGAATTGAAATTTCTTCTGTCTTTCTTGTAAAAAATGTGCTGTTATCCCCTTCCTTCAACCATTTAACCCTAGATTTTTTAGCCCATTAAACATCCTCTAAATCTGAAATGCGTTCCAATCTACCTTTACGCTCACATTCCTTATGAATTATCTCTTGATTCAATGTATCAAGCAACAATTCTAAATGACTCTGATGTAGCTCCTCTCTGGCTTTCCCCAATTGATCTGAAACTGATTCCTTATCTTTATTCCAACTCTTCACCTCTTCTTTAACCCCTTTAAGCTTCTTTAAAAGTTAATAGATAGGATTATACCAGTGGTTGGAACAGACCAAGCCTTAGCCACAATGTCCTCCACCTCCTGCTGCATACAGCAAATCTATAAAAATTTAAAAGTCTTAGGATCTGCAGAAAAAGAAGAACAGCACTTAACTGCCATAGTGTCATACCATAATGGTCAGACAGAAAAGCAGTAGTAAGATGGGATTTTCAGTCTGAGAAAGGAATCAACCAAACTATGTTTACAAGAGCTCTATCAAGTCTAGTCAAAATCCACCTATCCATCCTTGTTAAACCAGGTACAATCCCCATTCTGTAATGAAAGATCATCGCCTCTTAGATCCTTTAGCACATCATTAAACATATCAAACAAAGTTTAAGGAACCTTGAGACCTCCAGTTTTCTCAAGATGAAACTAATGGCATTCCAATCCCCAATACAACAAGTAATAAAAAATAAGGGAGAGTTTCAAAGAATGACAAAAAAATTAAGAAACAAGAGAATTTAGAGAAATATAACAAAATAAAAAATGAAGCTAAGAAGATACGAACTATAGGTAAAGAAAACATGTTAAATAATTTATATGAAATTCATTCGGAAGGGGTGGGATGAATTCTCCAAACATATTAGATTTTGAGTTAGGGACGGCATGGAAATCTGCTTTTGGGAGGATATTTGGTGTGGTGACCATTCTCTGGCTCACACTTTTCTTAGACTTTTCCAGATTGCTACAGATCGACATGCTTTGGTGGTTGACTGCTATCGTCTCGATAGTGGGAGTACGGTCTGGATGTGGGCTTCTCTAAACACTTTCAGGATTGGGAGATTGACAATGCCATTGGCCTTTTGGAGTTGTTGTATGGTCAGGAGATCATGGGAGACGTTTCTGACTTTAGGGTGTGGGACCTGTGGGTTTCTTCTTCCCAGAGTTGCTTTGATATCAGGTCTTTTTACAGGTGTCTTTCGGATGCCCCAGGGCTGCCGTTTCCATGGAGGGCTATTTGGCTTTCGAAGGCCCCTCTGAAAGCGGTGTGTTTTTTATTGGACATCCTTTTTGGGGAAGATAATTGACACATGATAACCTTAAAAGGAGACAGATTGTGGTAAATTGGTGTTGCATTTGTAAGAATGATGAGAAAACAGTTGATCATCTCATTTTACATTGTTTGGGGGCTCGGGATTGCTGGATTTTGTTGTTGGGTATGTTTAGGGTTCGAATGGTTATTCCTAGGTCTGCCAGAGGCTTTGTTGAGGCTTGGAGAGGTTGTCTGGTGGGAGGCCAAGTTCGTGACTTCTGGAGGGTTGCGCCTTTATGCGTGTGGTGGTGACTTTGTCTTGAAAGAAATAGGAAATCCTTCGTTGGAAAGGAGAATCCTGTTGACCTTAAGGATTTCATCCAAAGTCAATCTAGATGTTTTGATGATAACAAACCATTAATGGTGTTTAAGGACTAATGTTTACATTGAGTGTTATATAGATTATTCACATTCAAAGAATGACCTCAATGAAGCTATAAAGATTATTCCAAGTATTCCATTATTCAAGATCACATAAAGGAAAGAAATGGATACAAAGAAGACTTGAAGTTGCAAGGAGCCAAATGCAAAGTCTATCCAAAGATAGCTTGGACTACAATGAGTAAGAAAGCAACTCAAAGGAAGAAAGAAAGCAAAAATACCTCAAAGCATGAAGAAAGGGGTAGATAGGATGGTGAGTGTTTAGGATTCAATGTCAAAGTATTTATGAATCCATTTGAAGCTTAGGATCATGCATATCATTACATCATTCATAAGTTCCTATGACCATTAGCAATAGACTATGAACTTCATTACATATATTTGACATATGAAGTCTTTGCTAGGAATGAGTTAATTCAAGCTTACATAAGCTTTGAAAGAACTCACAACTTAAGCTAGAAATGCTAGGACCATGCACATTAATCATAAGATTTATTTGGTCTCTAGAAAGTAAAAGTAAGGCATTAAACTTAATCTTTTCATCTTTAAAGCCTTTGTTACCATGATTTGGTAAATGACTCTAGGACACAATGCACTTGAAATTTATAATCCTTATATGTCCCTAGACTCTTAGAAACTGGACTTGAATTGAATTGAACCATACATCAAAGTGTTAGGTGTTAGAAAGATGGCTATCTCATACGAAGCAATTTTCAGCCCAGAAAATATCCAGACCAGTCTGTACTAAAACTGCTAGAACTATTTTTGTAGTTGGAGTTTTTAAGTAAGGCCAGTGGCATTAGAAAGCTGACTTCGAGCCCTTGATTTTAGACTCAAATTTCACCTAAATTGGATTTGAATTAAGTGAGATATAACCATCACAAGATGCATATTTCTGGTCTGCGAAATTTCTGATCAGGTTGCACTAAAACAGGCATAACTATTTCTGTGGTTGGAATTTTTGAGTAAGGCCGGTGGCATTAGAAAGCTGACTTCAAGGCAATTAATTTAGACTTAAATTTCACCTCATTTGGAGTTAAATGGACTGAGTTATGTCCATTCGAAGTTCTGCCCATCAATGGAGCCGACTCCATTCAAGTAGAGCCAGCTCTTTTCATTCCAGGAGCCAAATTGTCAAAAAACTTCCAACTCCCAGCAATAGAGCTGACTCCTTTTGAAAGGAGCAGGCTCTCAGAGCAAATGGAGCCAGCTCCATTCAAAGTAGAGCAGGCTCTACTCTTGGAAATTCAAATCCAACGGCTCTTTTGTCTTGTGCTTTGTGCTGTCCACCTCTAGCATCATTATTTAGCTTCTAAAACCTCTATAAAAACCAAGGGAATGTCTAAAGAATAACAGACACACCATTTGAGAGACATTACATTGCAAAGAGAGCTTTTGTTCTCATCTTCTCTTCTTCTCTCATTTCATTCTTCTATTAATCTTGAGAGATTCAACTAAGGATTCAAAGGGCTGTTGCTCTAGTTCTAATCCTCAAAGAGCTTTTGCTCTATTCTTCACTTGAGAGATCTTATTGAGTTCATAAGAGTTTTTGTTCTTCATTTAAATCATCTTCTCTCATTCATATTTTTCATAGAGTATTGAGCTTCATTTATATTCATATATACTCTAGTTGTGAGCTTTAATTTGCATATCAATCTTTGAGAGATATGTTTGTATGCAACAAATTTGATATTCATTTGTAAGGGCTTGTGTGGCCCAAGGAAGAAGAAGCAAGCTAGCTTCAATTTGTAAGGGTTGGTGTGACCCAAAGGAAGACTAAGAGAGGTTGTCTCTTAGCAAGGTGAAGAAAGGTGGTGCTTCATGTAAAGGTTTGCTCTCCACCCATAAGGAGAAGCTATAGTGGATTGGGAAGTCTCAAGAGGGATCTTGAGCCGAGGAATAGGAGTTTCCGAACCTCGCAAAAATCGCCGTGTTATAGTTTGCAATTTCTCTTCCCTTATCTATTTTACAATTGTGCTATAAATAGTTTACTTTCATATCTTGATTTCATATGTTGATTATTGCATAATTGGTTATATTGTTGATTAGAAATTGTACTTCTATAATTCGCGAAAATTGGCCATTGACTCTATTCCCCCCCTCCCCCCCTTCTTTTTCCTCTAGAGTCAATTCTTTTCTTTTTTTGATAAGTAAAAATTTTATAAAAAAAGGCTCAAAAGGGGAGCGAAACCCATGCAAATACAAAAGACCACAAAGGCCTCAAGCCTTCAAAGAGGCTAAAAAATCAACTACTTCCTCCAAAGAACAATGATCTCTTCCTAAAAC